ACGCGCAGGCGCCGTCGGCAGGGCCGGGCGTTCCGCCGTTCGGTGAGGTCCACCCCGACGCCGCGCCCCAAACCGCCGTGCCCTTCTCCTGCGTGGCGTTCGGCTCCGCCCCGCACGGACGCCGCTGTCCGTCTTGAACAAACGCGTGGCTCTATTTAGCATCCATTAGAAGGCTTCTCACTCTCCCTTTGTCCTTCTGTCCGTCCTCCTTTTCCCCTTCTTCCGGCTCGCCTTCCTCCTCCTCCTCCTCCCCTTATCTGCTTTCCTCCTGACCTATTCCTCCTACCCTACCCACTTCTTCCTCCCCCCTGCCCCTCTTCCCATTCTTCTCATCCTCTCCCCTCACTTTCTAAACTACCCATAGCTTTTTATCCCCTTCCATATAAATATTACAATTAGAATGTCAAGTTTTGATTAGAATTGAATGTATTCGATTGTTTTGAAGAAAATCATGTTTATGATGTCTAGGAGCACCTTTTCATTTGTGTCATCCCTTTCGTATCAACAAAGAAAGTTTATCATCATATTCCTCAGGGCATGTGCAATATTTTATATTTACAAAAAAGGCAGGGGGACTCGACAAGCACTGGTGGCTCACACCTGTCATCCTAGCTACTCAGGAGGCTGAGATCTGAGGATCTTGGTTCAAAGCCAACCCGGGCAGGAAAGTCCATGAGACTCTTATCACCAATAAACCACTAGAAAACTGGAAGTGGTGCTGTGGCTCAAGTGGTAGAGCACTCACCTTGAGCTGAAGAGCATAGGGACAGCGCCCAGGCCCTGAGTTCAAGACCCACAAACGACAAAAGGAAAGAAAGGAAGGAAGGAAGGGGTCATAAGTGGGGCGCCAGTGGCTCATGCCTGCAATCCTAGTTACTCAGGAGGCTCAGATTTGAGGATCACAGTTCAAAGCCAGCCTGGGCAGGAAAGTCTGTAAGACTCATGTCTAATTACCACCAGAAAACCGGAAGTGGCACAGTAGCTCAAGTGGTAGAGCGCTAGCCTTGAGCCACTTCTGACCAAACCAAAAAGAGTCTCATGGACTTTCATGCTAGTCTGGCTTTGAACCAAGATCCTCAGATCTCAGCCTCCCGACACATGAGCACCTGGCACTCTGCAAATATTGACTTTGGACTTTCATGCTAGTCTGGCTTTGAACCAAGATCCTCAGATCTCAGCCTCCTGACAGGAGCACCTGGCACTCTGCAAATATTGACTTTGTGATCCTCAGCTAGTGGCACAATTGGCAAGTGATTGGATCATGAGGGCACTAACTCCGTTGATGGGTTAATCAGGTGATAACCTCGTTGCTGAATGGCCTGCTAGGTGGTGAGGCCTATGTTTTGAAAGGCATATTTTGCCCCACGGCTTCCTGGGGCATGTTCTTCCTCTGCCACGTTCTGCCTCACTCCAGGCGGAAAGCAATGGAGGTGGCCCATTCTGGACTGTAACTGCTGAAAACATGAGCCTGAGGAATTTTTTCCTCCTTTTTGTTTTCTCAGGCATGTTGTCACAGTACAAAAAGCGAACACAGTGCCCAACGTGAGGGGCAGATATTTGTCCTGATCAACACTCTGCTAAAGTTTTCATTTTTAAATTGCCTCACCTTGCCGTTAATATTGTAAGCCAGAAACAAGGTCAATGTATGCGGATGGATAACCAATATTAGGAGACCGCCGCCCCAGTAGCCTCGTCGGATTTCCGCAGCCACGGGGCGCAGCGCGGCCAGGCACCCCGCGGCCGAGCACACGGCAGGGTCCCGCGCCCCCGTCCCGGCCAAGTCCACAACGCTCCGGGGCGGGGCCTCTCGCGCCGCTGCCTGGGATTGGTGGCTTCGGCCCTAGGGGCGTGGCCCGGGGAGCCGCCGAACTCGGAAGTCGCTGGAGTTGCGCACGCAACTCGGCCCCGCCCCCTGTGCTGTGAGTGGTGAGCGCGCCCTCAGGGGCGGGTCCTCGGGCGGCGTCCTCCGGCGGGTTCACGTCCCTGCCTGCGACCTCCGCCGGCGGCGTCTTCACCATGACGGCCTGGGTCCTGCTGCGGCGTAGACCGCCGGGGGTCCTCAAGGTAAAGGAGGAAACCTGCCGCCCCGCCCCACGCGGCCGCGGAGCCGACGGAGGCCCGGGTGGGGGCGCCCTCTGGCCGTGTTGGCGGCGTCACTGCCGACCCGGGACCCGGCGCGGTGACCGAGGGAAGGCC